TGAACACAATTATATTTTGGATCAGGTCTATATGATTTTAATTCATCCCATATCACCCTTAATTTCGTATAATATTCTGTAATAGAAACATCACCTTGTTTGACAGAAGCAACTTCTTGCTATAATTCTGAGATTCTCAATAGATCCACTTGTGAAGATCTTGATTTCAAATCTTTAACAGTTTTATCCATCTACAATATACTTTGTCTGATTGAAGATGATACCGAATGCATCAACCATGTAACCACCATATTATTGGAACATTTCTATGCAGCATGGAGAGCATGATTAGGTGTTGGTTGTTGCAAAGAACCATCAACAAATTCCAGCTTATTCTTTGCACTAAGTGAAGTGGACATTGATCTACACCATGAGTTGTAATTTGTAGGATCAAGAAGCGGAGAAACAAGTGAGATCGATGGATTCTCATTTAGATGTACGTAATATGGACTATGAGGGTTGAGCGATTCATCTTGTATTGAAGAACTGGTCAATGCCATGGAAGAATCGAAACGATGCTTGCATTAAAGAAAGATAATAAAAGTGCGTAGCAGAGCTGAAGAGCTCTAATACTGTGTAAAACTCATAGCATACTATATTTAAGGGATGAAAAATAGAGAATATAATAAATAAAAGAAGAAAGGAATACTTCTCATTGAATATTGTAGTTATGATTATTGCAGTAATAATTATAAGTTATATACAAGAATCAGTAGTTATAACAAAATAAACTGTTTTATAACAAGATTGTAGCTAATAGAAAGAAGGATAATAGGCTAATATAATTCAATTTTATCTTAGTTAAATATATTATATGTAAAAATTTTATTTAAAAACAAAAAATTAAAAATTCGCGAAAACTCAAAAATGCTCGAAGAAAAATGTTAAAAGTTCACAAACACTCGAACATTCAAATCCAAATTCACGTTCTTTCAAATCTCTTCATTTTAAAAGTTAATAAAAGAAAAAAGAAAAGAATCATATTGTATTGAACTTTAATTACCTTTTGATTTGGTCTTCTCAAATTCTTGGCGTTTAGAGTGGCTGATATGACGTGGCTATTATCATTATATTACTTCAATTTTAAGGTTGTAGAGTATCGTTTGTTTTAAACGAGGGGAGTTAAAGATAAACTTTAATAGTGAAGAAAGATACTTTTTTTAGTTTATAAGAAAAAAATAATTTTATTATAATATGTACTTATAAAAAAATAATAATTGATGTATTTCATATGTTTTTAGAACATTGTTATTAAATGCATAATTTAATTTTAATTTTGAAAATAAAATTATTTTTTCTTCTTGAAAATAATATTTATTAAAAATTATTTAAATTGGACTGCCGCTACTCTAAGCCCTTCTAATTTTATATTATTTTAGTTCCTCTCCTTTTTAAAATATTATTGAATTATTTTAAGCAAATTACACTCCCATCCAATCATATAACGGAAGGAATATCAAATATCAATCCCCGACAGTATTATTCCCATCAATCACTGTTCGAATTAATATTGAATATCATAAATTTCGTCAATTATTCTTTTAAATATAATTTTTTAAAATAAAAATATTTAAAATATTATTAATAAACAATTTGAATTTAATATTATAAACACAATTAATATAAAATAAATCATTAATACATTTTTATTTTTTATTTTATGCAATTTTTCACTTTAAAGGCCGTTAATCCTACTCTTTCCTCTAACTATAAGATAAAGCGAAAAGAAAGCCAATACGGAAAGTGCTTTTTTCTGTTTTTAAAACAAGCAACCTAACTGAAGTGTGAACAACGTGAATATGGAGAATTACGTTTGGCAGATTAATTAAAACCAAACAAATCCTTGTTATAGTTAAAAGTACAATTATTTGCCATAAAGTGTCTTCACATGCAACTCTGTACCAAAGAAGGAATAGTATAATGTGCCCATTTTTCTTGATTCTTGTGTATGTTTTGTTTTTGGGTCAACTTGTATGTTTTGTTATTGATTTGGGCTGGGCCATGTAAATGTAAACCTGAAGGTCATCGAGACCGGTGACTTAAGCCTCAATTGTTTTTCACGACCAAAGAAACGGTAATTTCTTTATGGTGTGTATTTTGTTATTTAAAAAAAAAAAATCGGTTTTTGAACTTCTCTCTAATAAGATAGTCTCATCTTTTTAGTAATCAGTTTTTTAATTATCTGTTTAATTATTTTTTAAACTTTTTATTTCTTATTAGATCGATTTATTTCTTATATTGTCACTTGCTTTATATAAAAATTGAATATTTTTTATTTGAATTTAAAACGTTAAAACGTTAGATGAGAATAAATTCAAAAAATATTTATTAATTCTGATTTTTTATTTAACATTTTGATATTAATGGCTTTGATTTTTTATATTTAAATATATTGAGAGAAATGCTAATGAAAAAATTAATACTCTAATAGAAGTATTAAAAACTATGTCAAAATACTGTATTATTTTCTAAATATTTATATTTTTTATAAAATATTATTTACAATATCTTTCAGAATTGTTATTGTTGAAAGAAGAGTTTTAAATTTTAATCACTTAAATCAACAAATATTATAAAATATATTAAATGATTGGTCATATTTATATATTGAGAGTGAAGCATTAGATCGAATTACTGATCTTGAAACTCTGATAAATGATTTTTGCAGCTTAAAAGGTTCGAAAAATAACATGAAAAATAATAATTTACATTGTACGAAGTCACTTTAATTAATAATTTGTCTATAACGTCAAAATTTCTGAATGCAACAACCTTTATTTATGAAAGTCATATTTCTAAATGTATCACAATTTATTGAATGAATGAAGCCACCAATGTAAAGATAAAAAGGGCTATCGGGTTAGAATTGCCTTGGACATGTTTATCGTTATACTTAACTCATATAACTATTTAAGTCATGAGATTCTCCCACCTCTCCTAATGGCTTCCAAAGTTAACTATGAAGGTGTTGATTTGAATGGTTGTTAATATACGAGAGCTAAACGCACAAAGCTTATCACAAACCAAATGATTGAATTACTGGAAAAAACAAATGCACTTATATAATGATATATTGTTAGCCAATAACATGAGAAGCTTTATACTTAACGTTTATAGTAATCATCTATTTCTTTTTCTTTTAATCAATATCAATTATGCATACATATTCCAATTTCTCGTTCTTTCTTTTTTTAATCATTTTTTTTTATTTCTTCTTATCTCTCTCTTCTCACACTCATTTAACAGCCTAAATAGGATTTTAAATTATCATTTTAATTTTTTTAAAAAGAAAATCATCATTTGACTCCTGATCAAATGGGTGTCAAATGAGTAAAGATAAGTGTGATAAATAATATGATAAAAATAAAAAGTATATGTAATAAAAATAAATATAAAAAATAGAATATATTTTTTTAAACACGACCGGGGCAAAAGCTTAACTAACACAGTATACACAAAATGCATGATAAACAGCGACACAACTAAAGTTTGCCAACAACACAATTGAAAAGAAAGGAAACATGGCTACATATTCTATGAAGACTCGTAGGCAGAGAATGGTCAATCTTAACCGAACCTTCAGCACAACCATTCAGCAGAGAATGGAAAATCTTGAAGACTAGGATATATCCAAAAAAGGGACTGAAAATGTAAATAAATTTTGACTTAGAAAGTCCAGAACTTGGGTATGATATAACAAATTTTAAAAATCATAAGATATGAGATTATTGCGGCAAAATGAATAAATAAATATTGAGATGATTATGATATAATGTATATGCTGATATACAAGTACAAGATAAAATAAAATGTTACAATTTATCAAATTATTATCGTATTTTAATGTATGCTGATATACAAGTTTAAAAACAGAGGGTTAAAACAATAAAATAAAGTTAAAAATATTCAAAACATTCATATAATGTCTAATATAAGTACACATCTAATAAATTGAAAGAATTTACACACTCCATTTTGTTTATTTACAGTCAATCTATTTTTAAAAAAATTGTTTAAATTTAGAAATACTTGGTTGTCTTTGATTTTAAATAAAATAAAAATACAACATAAGATTACTATAATTTAGAAGTATCTTTACTTTTTTACTTTTACATATATAACTAATATTTGTACTCGCATAATAAAAAGTGTAATGCAATAATTTTAGTGAAATAACTTCAGTATCTATAAATTATATTAATAATTAAAGATTATGTTTTTATGAAAAAAATGAAATGCCAATATTGATTCTTATAAAAATGAGGAGGGAGGGACTTGAACTCACCGTCGTCTTTTCCTAGATCCATCCCCGTTTGGAGAAGTAGCATTTTTTTTTGGTATGATACTAACATTACTTAACACTTATATTCCAAATGCAGCAAATTTTACGGAAGAACAATAAATAGTGCAGATTAATGGTCACAGCCATCAAAGCTTGCGACATGAGGTAACGTGAATAATATTGGGCCTAACCCAGCTGGAGGATGTTAAGAAGATCGACATTGACAAAAATAAAGATAGACCAATTTAATAAATTATATCATTAAAATTTGTTTGGAAGAATTATAATTTTAAAAAATAAATTTATAAATAATACTTATTTTAATAAGTTTTATATTAAACTTATTGTATAAATTACAGTTTAAATTTAATTAAGCTGCATATTTAAACACGTGAACACGTGCTAAGTAAAATGAGTTTTATGGCTTGCACATTCCGTCTCACTCATCCGAAAGTAATATTATCTATCAAAAGACTATAACTTAAAAAAGACTAATGGAGAGAGTTAGTAGCTTAAATATTACATCAAAGTTTTTATTCTTCTTAATATGCAAACGTGGGTAATTGTGTATATTATTCTACCGATAGCAGAGTAAGTCTAGCTAATCTAATGGACAAAGATTAGCCACCAACCTATGGACGTTATAAATAGAGTAGGACTCTGGTGAATCAACAACACAACTCTCATCTCCGACACTTTGTTGTTATTATTCTTGAAAGTGGGCATAATGGCTACCAAGCATTCACTCATGTCTCTCTTTCACCGAAATGCAGAGAGTGAGCATAACCCATTAAACATGTCTGATGAGCAGATATTGGAGCAAATTTACTCTACCCATGTCCACAGTCACACGAAGTTTGATGTAGACTCTCTTTTCATCCTTGTTGAGAACACCCTTAGGCGTTCAACACACATTGTTGACAATGTTGTGCAGGTATATATACATATATGTGTGTGTATATACACAAATACATGCACCCATGAAATGAAACCCCATGATTAATCTTTTACAGGGTTCCAACGTAAGCCTGGAGCAGGTAGATGACAACATCCCAAACAATTTCAACTCACCACTCTGTACCCTGAAGCAAATTTCTTTTGAGGTAATTCCTTAATCCAAAGCATTGCATATATTAAAAACAAAACTAAAGGGTTATGTAATGTAAATGCAGACATAAAAGAAAATGACACAATGACTTATGATGACAGATGTCATGCAAGCCTCCAGGTGAGGAAATTGCTCACAAAACTACAATAGGCATTCTTAACAAACTCTCGAACTATGAGTGGGATGCAAAGGCAGTGTTGACACTTGGGGCATTTGCGGTGGAATACAGTGAATTCTGGCTGCTAACTCAGCATCAACCAACAGACCCTCCTCTTGCAAAATCTGTGGCTGTTCTGAAGAGAGTGCCAGTGCTGACAAGACCCGCAGCACTTCAAAAGCATCGCCAACACATCGTTGAGCTCAACAATCTTGTCAGAACGACGTTGCAAGTGATTGAGGTAATATTTGAGTTGGAGAAGCTTACCACTTATGACACAAAGGATGTACCTGCTTTGTTGCCTGCCATAGAACAAATTCCTGTTGATGTCTACTGGGCTATCATCACTGTTGTGGCCATTGTTACTCAGATCGATTGCCTCACTAATGAATCGTAAGTAACCTGTTTTTGGTTTTCAGTTGTTGTAGGAATGAACAAGTTTTGTCTATAACATTAATCAAACCTGTTTGTGTTTGATTTGATCAACCTATAATGAATTGCTTGAGTTCAGAGAGCACAAACAAGAACTATCTCACTATGGTCAAAAGATCAACATCATACTTAGCAAACTCAGGAAGCGAATCATGCTCTGCAGACAACAGATAGGTTAGTAATAGTAATACAACTTACTCAAAACAAACTTGGCCAGTGTGGAACTGTTTCATTCGAAGTTAAAAGTGAACTAAAAAAGACATGAAGTTATAAAGAACATGCTAATTATATTATTTATCATTTATATTTTCAGAAGAGGCAGAATATTATAAGAGGCTGAGGAAATTTTTTCAAACGCCTACTGAAATCATGGAGGTGTTCAAGTTTTTGATTTTTTCCAAGGATGCCCCACAACTACTGTTTGATGGTGCTACTAAAACCACGGTTTGTGATCCTTTCTACCAATTTATCAATATAAAGTTTTGGCAATCCTATTAGTTTGAAAATTATTATTTTGTGATCATCTAGCTGTTTTAATATAACTTCTAAATTTAGTAATCTTTTATAGATTCACAAATAATATTTTGGAAGAGGCCCAAACTAATTCAATTAGAGGCTTTTGGAATTTACTACTCCAAAGGAGTCTTTTACGGGCCTTTGGTTAAATGGGCTATCCGTTGGCATAATTTTTATTTAGAATTTTAACTTTAACTTTAACTTTGTATATATAAATATATTTATGACATAATTTTTTATATATGAATTATAATTTAATCAAATCACGATGGTTATCTGCTTCAAAAAGTCCAATCAAACAAATTCAATAGACCGATTTGAAATTAAGACAATAACATTATTATTAAAAAAACAAAAAATATTCGGCCAACAAATAGATCCAGCCCATTGCAAACCACACTTCACTGAATTGGCAAAACCCAATCTGGGCTAGGTTGCGCTGACATGAAATAGAACTGAAATTTTGCTATGTTTAAGCTACAAGAAGACCTACATTTTTTAACAAGTATAAACAGAAAAAGAAAAATAGCAAGTTAAATATTAGACGATATATTACTACAAAAAAATGTCATAAATTGACAGTTCTTTTTAATTAAATTAACATCTATTAGTATTGTCTTTGTTTAATATAACTTAAAGTTCAAATATAAATATTACAAGTTAGCATTGCTAAGCATACACAATTACTAAGTTTTATCTGAATTTATGTAATTTTATTTATTTGATACTGACTAAATTTAGGAGCAAATCTAATGCTGAAGAATGTGTGCAAAATCATTCGTGCATGAAAATGTTATGGTTATTTCTTATTGATTTTGATTCATTTATTGCCTGGGCAGGTTGAAATCACTGAGCTGAAGAAGAAGCATGTGTACCTGTTGATTTCCTCTCTAGACATCACTGAGGAAGAAATTTTAGTGCTCCGACCAGTCTATGAATACATTAAAACTAATGATCAGTATAAGATTGTGTGGATTCCCATTGTGGAGGAATGGAGCGACAAGTTGTGCAAGAAATTTGAGGCTATAAAAAGCAAAATGCCTTGGTATACGGTGCAACATTTTGGAACTATAGCAGGGTACAAGTACATTAAGGAGGAATGGCACTTCAGAAAGAAGCCAATGGTAGTAGTGTTGAATCCTCTTGGGAAAGTTCAACACACAAACGCATTCCATTTGATTCATGCTCATGGGATGAAGGCCTTTCCCTTTACTATTTTGGATCAAGAGAGAATTGACAGAGAAATTCACTGGGTTGGTTCCGTGGTAGGGAATATTCACCCCAACGTAAGCACCTGGGTAAGTACATTACATTTCACAAATCAATTAAAATATACGTATGGTAAACATAAATGAAGTACCAGTTTTAAATACCATAATATGTTTAGTTTTGGGCACTCAAATTAAGTAGTTTTTGTTTAAACTTAGTTACAAGGTTTTGGTATCACTAGATCTCTGTGATGCAGATCAAAGAGCAAAAGTACATTTTCATCTATGGAGGCAAAGACAAAGAGTGGATCCAACAGTTCACAAAATTTGCAACTGCCCTTGCAAGTGATAGCACTATAAAGGAGGCAATGATTTCCATAGAGTTGTTCTGTGTGGAAAAGGAAGATAAAAGCTTCCTAAGGCGCTTTTGGAGTGGCGTTGAGAGCTTGTTTGTGACCAAGGCTCACAACACTGTTGACGCAGTGACTCAAGAAGTGCAAAAGATGCTTTCTTACAAGAATGAAACTGGATGGGCTCTCCTGTGCAAAGGGTCATCTGTGGTGGAGTGTGGTCATGGAACCACAATCTTGAAGACAGTGGTGGAGTTTGAGAAATGGAAAGAGGTTGTGATGAAAAAGGGTTTCGAGTTCTCCTTCAAAGAGCACCATGAGAGGATTGCACGCACCACTCATCGTTGCTCACACATTGAAATTCCTAATGTTGCAGGAAAGTTACCTGAGACCATAAAATGCCCTGAGTGTCCCAGGACAATGGAGATTTTCATCTGCTATAAATGCTGCCACAATGATAATACTGCAATTTCCATAAACTAGAATTGAGTGTGCGATGCATGTTTCATATTTTGAATGAGAGTGTGGTATTGAGCTTAATTTTTGGTATGTGCAACTTCTAGGACTCAGCTTCTCTGGTAAAATAAAGATTTTTTTGTCCAAGATTAAGCATTTCTGTGTGACCTTAAAAATAAGGTGTCTTTTTTATGTAATCCGTTGCTGCCGATTTTTAATAGTTTTGTGTTGATTGGGTAATTTCTTTTTACTATGGATCAACATTTCATTTTATAGAGCATAAACAATAATAGAAACTACGCTATTTTAACATAACTAATGTACTCAAGTCAAATACAATTGTGTTAAAATTTCAAAGATAAAAACTTCGCTGCTAATAATAATCTTTCCTAGTTCAATCCAAATAATTCAGATAATCAATGTGACACCCGAATACCAGTATATTTGACAAAAAAAGAAGTACGTAAAAATATAATTCATGCTAGTCTGAGTTAACAAGCATTCTATGCCATATTCCATAACAGTGGTCAAGTAATCTATGCTTTTCTTTTGTTTCTAACGAAATTTTCGGTGCAACGGGGTTTAATCTATTCATAATATGATTGGTTCAAACTCTTTTTTTTTTTTCTATATAGAAAATTAGGTATAATATTATTCCAATAGTAAATAGAGTTTACATCAGAAAGTAACAATGATTGAATGGCTAGCAGGATTTCCTCTACCCCAGTCTGTTATCGTAACGTAAATAAAGGACACCTTGGCAATCTTGTAACCCACCGGATTACTATTTCTCCCAACATACATGATCACAAAGTCAGAAAAAGGCATAGTTTAAGAGACACAATCATGCATTGTGATCAAAAGATTGATTGATTTTTTTTAAAATCAGCCAACATTCCATATAATAAGAATTTTTGTATAATATTTTTTATTAAAAATTACATAATTCAATGCATTGACTTTTTAATAAAAAATAATTTATTAGTTTTTTTACTATAAACTATTAATGTTTAACGGATTAGAAAAATATATAGGTGATGAAAATAGGAATCACCCAACATGTTTTCTCCCATGACTGGACCACGTACACCAAAACTATCTGTTTTAAAAAATAATATGATGCAACTCTAAATTATTATTTTTAAATGGTAGAAATGTTAGAAATCCGTGGGTATCATCTACGATTCAGTAGGAGTTTCATAATATTATATTAAAAAGTTGAGTCTCAATGACAGCTTGTATACAAGTTCAGTTTTTTAATAAGTTATGGACCTAGCACACAACATAGTTAAATTATTTTAATAAAAAAAACCATGGGGAATTTGCAGGTGCTATGTTATTATATGGTCTTAAAGTTGGACAAAAAATATAGCAAGTTTATGTGCTTTACGGACTCCCAAGGTGCGTGCCGTGAGAGCATCCGAAGGCAACCCCGCAAAGTAGATGTGATTATAATTTAGAAATTTAGAATCATGATTCATTGACGAAGCAGTGATCAGTTTCAATAAACCATATTCTTAGTCTTAGGTAAACTCTTTGTGTAGAGTAATAATTTAATAAACAATGGGGGTTGCTATCCCAAGGCCTCAGCTATCTTCTTTAATTTTGTTTTGTTATCTGTTTTCCTTTTGTCATTTGACCCAAAAAACAATTGATGAAGTCATCAATTAAAACCATAAATTATCTTAAGCCATATTGGCCAATAGGATCACAAACGGAGAATTTTAATGGGTGATCTGATTTTAATTTTTTAATTAATAACTTTAAAATACTATTTGACAAAACCGTTGTTATTAATATGCAAGACAGAAGCTGGAGTAGCAATATATATATATATACTGTACGTCTTTATTGAAAATATGATGTATTGCATTAATAAATATATTTTTATAGAAAATAATATATATTGTTAATATATCATATTAGTAGTGTATATTTATGAATAATACAAATAACTTATGAAAATAATTTATATGTTATTTTTATCTTATTTTAATAATTTTTAACTTATTTAAATTAATTTTATAATTCAAAATTTTATATAAAAAATTAAACAAATATTTAATTAAGATGTATACTTAAACATACAAATAAACTATAACATATTAACAACGTTAGATTGCCTCTCATGTCATATTGTTTTCGTCTTCCAAAATGTTAGGAAGAAAATAATTAATTTAATATAATATGTTATTAACATAATAAAATATAAGTAAATCAAATGCATTTATTTCTTGTTTTTCATTACTCTTTATTTCATTGTTATAGTGGTTTCATTTCATAAATTTATGCACATTTAAAGTTAATTATTAAATTGGTCTTTAATTTGTTGTATCTTTCTATATAAATTGTAATTAATAATAATTATTATTACTTTATGAAATAAATATTAAATAAAAGTACATATATTTATTATTTTGTTATAGTTATTCCACTTATTACTCATTAAAAAACTTGAATTTTATCCATCTTATTATTAAATAAGGTTATATAGTTATGTTTATTATACATGTCAAGTTTTAGATAAATTTAATATTTATAGATATATAATTTTATAATTAATGATTACTCATATTTTAAAAATGTATATTAAATGTTAAAATAAAGTTGTCTGATAAATTATTAATTAATTTTTAGTTTGTACAATTTTTTGTGAACTTAATCTATTTACTTTTTTAAAATTAACAGTTAAATAGTCAAAATTTAATGTTTATAAAAAGATCGTTAGGCAGAGTAATTTTATCACTGTTCATCTTTAAAATATAAAAGAAATTAAAGTTATTCTATTAAATTTTATTTGATATACATTCACATTTAATTAAATTTACATTCTATCTGTTCACTTCAACCTTTTTATAAATAATTATTTTTGTACGCCGGTTTACGGTTTACCGCTCCCGAAATAAAAATCTTTTACGCCTAATTGAAAGCAACATTTCCTTTCTATTTCAGTTACCTCAGTAATTTAGTTGCTTTGTCTCCAAAATTTATAATGAAAAGGAAGCACCACTTCGCCTACTGGTATAATGGTAGATAAAAAAGATCAGCTCAAATCTGCTTCAACTATGCCCATTATTTTTCTTGCTCTTTCTATGTCAAATGCAATCAATTCAATATTATAAATGTGCACAACAAATTTCATGAAAGAATATCTTGAGTTTGAAAAGGAAAAACTTCAACTACACGACTTCAATTTAACACAAGCATCGTGTATGTGTGTCGGGAGACTTTCAAATTATATTGGGAAATGAACAATTGAACATAGATGGTGTAATGTTCGTACTTATTATCAAATTTTGCGAATATTAATTTTTAGATATTTTTATGATTATTTAATAAATATGAGATCCATAATCATTCTTACATATAATATTAATTTTAGTGCTTTAGACGATGAATCTGATATAGACATATGTGTGTTTAGTTTTAAATATTTTATTACACATAAAAGTAATCTTGAAAAGGAAATCTTATTATTACACATTTCCATAATGTTCTTAAAACAACGTAAAATATTTTAACTAGGCATCCATATTATAATTATATTTCCATACAAGTGCCAGCAAGGAAAAATTGACAATCTTGTACCAATTCATGCCTTTTATAAGTTGATGAATCGTCTTTTATTATATGCTCAAAATCATAGTTGTTTAAGAAGTAATAAAACAGTTTTATACCGCTGATTATTTTATTTAAATAAATCGTTGATTGAATAGTTGGAAAAAATATTTTATATTTGGTTTGATTTTATTTTTTTACGTTCCAAATAAACTTAAATTACAAATGTATCAAGTTTATATTAACTTTCTACTTTATCTTCTAATAAATTCTAACATTAACTTATTGTGAATATATATTTATATTTGTATAAAATTGTTAATTATAAAAAAACTATATTTTATTTAATAAAAATATAAATAATTGGGTAAGAGTAAGAGAAATTTGGATAGTTAATGGGTATAAAAATGAAAATCAAAATGATTACCGAAAAAGTATAAAAATATGTATAAATATATTTTTAAAATGTGACGTGAATATGAATTTATTTAAGATCTACTTGACCCTAAAATTAGATGAGGTCATTTGATTAGATGTAAAATTGACTTGACAAATGCCTCATAATATATAAAATGGGATCGGGTGGATTCATTTTGTGACATGATGTATTAATGTTTATATATATATATATATATATAAATCTTTTAAAAAAATAGAACATTAGATTGGATTGGAGTAAATTCATTAATCTCTGCTCATCCTGAAATATGGAGCGGTTATTTATTTAAACTCAAATTTGAATAGTTTGTTCTCGTAATATATCAATCTTTATTTTATATATAGTTCAATAGAATCAATATAAATATTATTTATTAAGTTAAAATGTCTTGCTATTAATCTATAACTATTAAGAATATAAATTTAAAATTAATAAATATATATTTTAAAAATAAATTATACATTGAATTAATAAAACAGTTTGAAATGTAATTTTTTTAATTTTTTTTATTCGATTAAATTTAAATTTGATTCGAGTCGCACATTAATAAATATTAAAAAAAATTTATACATAAAAACTTAAATTTAAAATCTTATTTAAGCAATACTAAGTCACTTGTCATTCGCACCAACCTCTATTGGTTACTAATCTCTGTTGATTATTTAAAATATAATTTTAATTATCGTAAAAATACATCAATAATTTTTTTAATTTTATTTTAATTTGTAAACAGTTAAATTAAATTAATATTATTTTCAAATTAATTTAAATTGAATTATACCTTTTTACCATTAAATAAAATAATTTTTATCTTATTCTGAAGGATTATTATAGCGAGATAATATATATTTATTTTTATACTGGAATATTTAAAAATTTTATTTGCTTATTTAGCACTTAAAAAATATAAATTGAATGTAAATGAAGTCCTTATAATTCTAAAATGGTGGCCTTTCCCATCAGGGGAAGACTAAGGAAGAGAAAGGGAGAAAAAGGGAGTCAAGGGGTAATCATGTGATTCAAGGAAAACCGAAGCCTGTTTCAGATGGAATGGTTGGATTAAAAACGTGGCGCACGTCCATTGGTTATTCCTTTCCAACCGAATATTCGACCACAACATTCCCACTTCACTAAACACCCCGCTTATAAAATCGCTTGCCTCGTACCTTTTCTGTGAACTACGGAGAAACCGAAAAACACACTCAAACAACAACACTTCAAGTAATGACTCAAGACCTCAAACGAGACTACGTCGTTTTGGAAGAAATCGGCCGGGGAAGATTCGGCACCGTTTTCCGATGCTCTTCCGTCGATTCCGGTGACTCCTTCGCTGTTAAATCCATCGACAAAGAGGCCGTAACCGCCGCCGGAGACTCCCTCGACGCCCAATGCCTATTAACGGAGCCCAAGATTCTTGACCTTCTCTCCCCTCACCCTCACATCGTTAACCTCCACGGCCTCTACGAGGATGAAACCCACCTCCACATGGTTCTCGACCTTTGTTACGAATCCGACCTTCACCAACGGGTCATGCTCGAACCGGAAGCCGCTTCCGTCTTGTATCAACTCATGCAAGCCGTGGCCTACTGCCACGGCCTCGGCGTGGCTCACCGAGACATAAAGCCCGACAACATTCTCTTCGACGACGAGAATCGGCTCAAGTTAGCCGACCTCGGCTCGGCTGAGATTTTTCAGGAGGGGGAGCCGATGAGCGGCATCGTGGGGACGCCGCATTACGTGGCGCCAGAGGTCCTCGCCGGACGGGATTACACCGAGAAGGTCGACGTGTGGAGCGCCGGCGTCATTTTATATGAAATGTTGGCTGGGTTTCCGCCTTTTCGCGGCGATTCGCCGGTGGAGATTTTTGAGGCCGTGCTTCGAGCCAATTTGAGATTTCCTAGCCGAGTTTTTTGCTCCGTGTCACCGGCGGCTAAGGATCTGCTTCGTAGAATGCTGTGTAAAGACGTTTCTAGAAGGTTCTCCGCGGAACAAGTCCTAGGTATCATGCATTCTTAAAATTATTTTCCTGTTCTAAGGATTTCTGGACGAGGAAAATGAAATTCTTAAGGTTTGTTAATTGGGTTTTTTTAATTTTAATTTTTAACAGCGCACCCATGGTTTAGCATTGCGGAACAGGGCATGCGAGCAGAATGAGTTGGTGATTCGTCTTCACAAAGCAGAGAACAATGCGTAGAGGTGTTTTTTCATTTTTTTATGTATAAATGAGACGCACCCTATGCCTTTTGGGGGCAGAGATTTCTTCTCGTGTATGGAGATTGAAGAAAGCCATCTTTTTTTATGTATAAATGAGCAGAGTATAGAGACGAGTATAATTTTTTGTTTGTTTCAGTTCTCTGTTTTCGAATGTATGTTATGTAATTATCTGCCATTTGGCGATTGTAGTGAGAAAATAGTTTGTGTATATGGATATATCTAGAAGATTTGAAACAGTTAGTTTGTTGCAATCCCTTTGACACATCATACCGAACCCTGAGAGCAGTAACCAGAGTTCAGTTAGGTGCCACCTTCTTCGCGTTACTGTTTATCACTGTAAATCCGGAGATAATTGTAGCGGAATTTCTCTAATCATTTTCAGATTGCCGTGGCCTATGGGTAATAATCACAATTCAGTTGGAATTCCACCTTCTTCGCTCCGTCTTTTGGTTTTATTATGAGGAAATAAGACGTTCAAAGTTTGAATTGAGTTAGGAAAATTAATGTTCTAAGGATATTTTCATCGTCAAAATTACATTTTTCTCCTCTAATCTTGACTTTGCTTTATTACAAGTTTTCAAATGTTGCAACTAAACTAAAATTCAAGTTTCAATAAAAATATCAAGAAGCACTAATGGTAAAAAATAAATTAAAATTAGTGTATGCATTATATTTTTTAGAGCTTCTCTTTTCTATTTTCTAAAAAAAATTAAATATTTGTTTCAAATTAATATTAACTCAGCTACCTCATCTTTTTCAAAAATTTGATGTCTATAATTTGATTTTAAGCATTTATAAAAGAAAAAAATTATAATTTTTTTAAAATTCCTTATAAATTTAATTTAATTTACGTCTCTCATTTTTTTAGAAATTTTTTCATATAATTTTCTAAACAATGAATGTTCATAACTTGATTTTAATTTTAAAAGAATTAATTTTACCTTTCTAATTTTTCCTCGTACAAGTGATTAATTTTTTTTATCCAATTTAAATATATGAAAGTAAATAATTATAAGAATTTGATTTTGCTTATTTTGACTAACGGTGAACTTTTACAATTTTTTTACTCCTTAATATCTTACTTTATTTTTTTTTTAACCACAAGTATATATAACACATTCCAAATTTGATTGGTAAAAAAGAAAACGAGGAAAGAAAAAATTGAATAAAAAATTAAAAAGGATAGTTTATTTTTTAAAAATGAAAAAGTTTGTCATTGTTTATTTAATTAAATTAAAATTATCATTATATACATTTTATTTTTTTATCATTATCATACTTAATTATCTTTATTATGAATTTATATTTACATTAAATAATAAAATATTTTTAAATTAGTAAAAAATAAAAGATAACTAAATAAAAAATTTAACCTTAAAAAATTGAAATAACTAAAAAGTGTAAATTAAACTTAAAAAAGAAAGGCGTCTAAAGTAAGCAAAGCTGACTGGTATCCTTTTGTCGTGTAGAATAAAACAGAGATGCAGAGTGGAGGTGCTTCCTCGCTCCGTACCTTTCCGTGATTACGAATTTGCGATCTTTTTGGATTTGCATCCCACATTCTTTATTTATTATTATTATTATCTAAATTCAAAGTGTTGTACGATCTCTTGGACTACAATTAAGCAGCCATGTGATTTGTGAAATGCCGTACCCTCTCCGTCCTCTCACACCCCTCTGTTTCAAATATCCAACCTAAGATTCATTCACCGTTGTAGATCAAATATAATATTATTTTTTATAAATTTATTATTAAACCCATCAATTAATAATTTTTAAATTTCATGTTTTCTAACTTTTAAAACAAACAATTTTTAATCTTTCAGATCTCTTGCATAGGAACAACGCTTATACCATGTACAAATTTCTCTTCCTCCTTCATTCTTATGACTCCAATATTCAAACTCTAATACCACGTTGAATATCTAACCAAGTAAAATCGTTGTAGGATTATAAGACTTTAACTCCTTAAAAATATAGATTTCAAAAATAAAATAAATTATTTATATTTAATAATTAAGATTATATCAAATTTATTATTTATTTTTTATATATACACTTATGTTTACCATGTTTTAATTTTAATAATTGTGAATATCATTTTTTTTTCTTTTCTACGATTGCTCTCAAAATTTTATAGAATGAAATGTTAATTTTACAAACAAAAATATATAAAAACTTGAGAAATAAGGTTGGTCCTAGAAACAAAAATTTTGCAGGGTGCAATTCTATATTTAACTTCCAATTGAGCTTTAAACGTGAGAAAAGAAAGGTTAAGAATTTTTTTATGTTTCGTAAAAATTCTAAAAACACAAAATAAAGACAAATATAAGAGAAAAAAAGATATCTAGAGAAGCTGGCAATTAGTTCTAAAAAAAGAAGAGAAATTTTTTTAGAGAAACAATAAACTTTCAGTCAATAAAATTTTAGAAGGAAAGAGTTGTACTAACTCAAAAAAATATAATCAAAGAAAAAGAAGAAGAGAAGATTCAGAAATAAAAAAGAGAAGTATCACTATGTCAAATATTTTCTTTTATCTTTCTTCAAGTATCTATGTAGAATAGAGATGAATAAATTTTTTTTGAAAAAGTTACATAATAAACAATAAATAAGAGAGAGAAGAGTTTTGGAGGGTGACATTGAAAGAAACTTGCATTTAAAACTAAATAAAATTAAAATAAAGAGAAGCTCGTAATTTTTAGCTTTATTTTTTTATAAATATTTTAATAATATAACAGTCCATTTGATGGGATTATGATTTAAAAAAAATGAGCACTAACATACACACCCTGTATACAAGCACAAAGCTAAATCATATCAAATCACTTCTATTTTTTTTTCTTTTTTTATTATTTATTTAGTTTGCTTTTGGCTGAATGTCTTATTTCCTTTTTTTGTTTTACGCTGCTTTGATTCACGCACCTATCACATATTCTTTGTTTCATTTTTTATTATTTTATTATCATTTTATTTTATTCTATTTAGCTCAATAATTTTACTTATTTATTTATTGTTTGAAAAATGAATGTTTTTTTATTTATATTATTTTTATTTTATATTATATTTATCTTTTATCATCTTATATAAAAATATTTAATTTCACATCTTTATTTATTTATTTATTCTGATTTAACTTTTCTTAATTGTATTTATTGATTTTTAAATAATAATAATTAAAATAATAATAAAAAATTATTAAAATTAGATTAAATGTAATGTAATGAATTTTTTTTACTATACTTGAATTTTTTTAATCGCAAAATTTAACTATACTAATGCGATAATAAATCCTCTCTATAATTTTTCATGTTATTTTATTATTTAAGTTTTAATTATTACGTTAATTATTTCTTCTTTAATTTAGGATTGTTATCTTTTATTTTATTTATTATATATTTGTAGAATATTGATTTAATTTAATTTTATATACATGATTACCTCCTCTTATATTATTAATAATAAATTATATAATTACATCAATTTATAACATTAACGTGTAACTTCTCTACCGTCTTATAAATTGATAAAATCTACATGTACTTATGTTACCGAGGCTTTAGATAATATTAATTTATCATATGTTATCTTTAAGTAATTAAAAAATTATCTTAATAATCAATCAAGATGTATTTCTCTGTAATTACTATTTTTCTAATCAATTACTTTACATCAAAATTATTTTGTTAATGCAACAATTCATAGTGTTTATGTGTAGCGACTCTATCTTTATACTTTATAAATTGTCAAAATCTATGTGTATCCACGTTATCTTAGGTTTTATACACCATCAATATATTAAAATAATTTTATCTAATTTTTAAAACTAATCAATTATGTTATTTTATTTAATTAAAATATATCATTTAAAACATTTTCATCATATTAATGCAGCAACTTATAGCATTATTGTGTAGCGTCTTTACCTTTATATGCTTTAAATCGTTAAGACTTTTGTGCATCAACATTATCTTAAATCCTACGCAATATAAATTTATTAAATGAAGTCATAATCTTTTATTAGGTAACTATTTTTTTAATCAATTTAAATATATTTATTTCTTTCATTAAATAGAATTAATTTCATATTTTAATTTTTTTAAGTCATATTTTTAATTTTGATAAATTAAATAACTAAATATTTTTTTACTTATTTATACAAATTTTTACAATATCAATGTGTAATTTATATTACCTTCGATTATTCAATAAATTATGAGGGATTTATGTATAGCTTACGTTATCTTAAGTTTTCTTTTAATATGAAACTTCAAATGCAAATTTTTTTTCTTATTTACAAACTATAATATTTTTTTAACGATTTGTAATATAGTTGTGTAATCTTCCTTCACCTTCCGTATTGTTACTCTATGATACATGTATAACCACGTTATCTTGTATCTTTAATGTTATAATCTTAAAAAAATAATTTTAATCACAAAAATAACTTTCTTTTATTAAACTTAATTTTAATCTACCAATTTCATAAATTTTATAATAGAACTACATGACTTTAAGTTTCCCGTTACACCTGAAGATACGTAGGAGTGGGAACCAGACTCGTCAAATTAAAATAATTTTTCTTTTAAGATACTAATTAACATTTCAATGAATAATTTTTCTTCTTTTAAAACAAAAATAAAAATAATTATTGTTTAGGGGTTAAATAAATATTTTTTAAAATTAAAATAAATTTGTATAATTAATTTAAAGTAACCATTTTTAAACGGACATTATAGGGTGCTAACACCTTTTGTATACGTAAATGACTCTCGAACTCATTTTTGGTTTCAAAAATAATATTATTTTAAAAGTTTTTCCAAGGTTTTCTTAAAATAAACTTTGGTGGTGACTCCTTTGATTTTTCTTTTTTTAGAAAACGTTTCTTATTCCTAAAAGATATTTTTCATAAACACGTTTTTACCGTATAATTGCGACAGATGGCGACTCCACTGGAGAATAATTTTTAGAGAGTCAAGCATTTGATAATTAATTGTGCAAATTTGTATAATTTCGTTTCTATTTGCTTAATCCCTTTCTCTTTTCTTATTTATTATTTGAATTAATTATATTATGTTTCTTTTTATTTGTGTATTTATTTTGTGCATGTATTTTGTAACCTTGTTCTATATATTTTTCTTAATATTGTTGTTAACCCTAGTATAGATGACTATTGATAATTTTTTGTCGTATTCTTGTGTTGTTTAATTTTGCAGCTTTTATTTTTGTTAACTTGATAAGGTTTGTATGCTCCCTCACACACTACCACTTACACATTCATCACACACTTTGAGCAAGGCCCTATACCTGCTTAGGATTAGAGGGGTTATGTAACAGTGTCAGTTTGGATGCACGTCCTATTTGATTATCGTGAAAACCCTAGATAGAGTTTGACCTTTTCTTGATGTCTCACATATAGTAGACTCCCTACTGTTGTGGTTAACATCAGGGATTGAATCTTAACTCTAGTGACCTTTTAGGATTATAAGCCACCTT